GAACCCGCGGGCTCAGGTAATCCACTCACCTCAGCCTCCCAAAGGCGCGGGATTACAGGCTGAGCCACCGAGCCCGGCTACAAATTGCTATTTTACGTCTTGCATCCACCACGAATTTAAGACAAGTATGCTGGATGACGTTATTCCACACTGGTTTATTTAGGGCTCCAGTCTCACTCCTCGATAGACTTGACGTATTTCTCATAGGCCTCTTCACTCACCAGCTCACATAGTTCTGAAGGGTTACTCAGCGTCATCCTGATCAGCCAGCCATCTTCATAACAAAATTTGTTGACAAGTCCTGGGTTTTCTGCAAGAGCTTCATTCATTTCAGTTACTTCTCCTGATAAAGGAGAATAGAGTTCACTGGCAGCTTTCACACTTTCCAAAGCACCAAACTCATCTTGTTTATTCAATTTTGTCCCAACTTCAGGCAGACTACAGTAAACAACATCTCCCAAAGCTTCCTGTGCAAAATTGCTGATTCCCACTGTTCCAATTCCATTTCCAGTTGTTATCCATTCATATTTCTCTGTGAATTTACGCACAGAGAGCAGGACAGGTCCTGTGTGCAGCGTCCGGACAGCGCCCGCCCCAAGCCCCCAGGGCCGTGGTGGGCAGGGCGCAGCGCCCCGAGGCCGCTGGCAGGCTGCAGCTCTCCTTTGTTAATCAGCATGTAAAAGGTCCTGAGCCCGACTGATGAAACTGAGGGGCTTCAGATGCCCACCCATCCCACCTGTTTCCTCCATTTTAAACCTTTGTACCAGCCTGAGCAACATAGTGATACCTCATCTCTACAAAAAATTTTTAAAAATTGGCTGGGCATGGTGGCACACACCTGCAGTCTCAGCTACTTGGAAGGCTGAGGTGGAAGGATTGCCGGAAAATCAAGGCTGCGGTGAGCTGTGATCCTGTCACTGCACTGCAGCTTGGCAGACAGAAAAAGACCCTAACTCAAAAAAAAACTTTGTGTATCTTATTAGTTTTTTTTTTTTTTTACTTAGCACTTAAGATATGTTCACAGTATATCACAGACAGAATTTTTAAATCTAAATGATGTTAAATTTACTGGATATAGCTGGGCATGGTGGCCCATGCCTGTAGTTCCAGCTACTTGGAAGACTAAGCCAGAAGGATTGCCTGAGCCCAGTAGGTCGAGGCTGCAGTGGCTGAGAGCATGCCACTGCCCTCCAACCTGGGTGATAGAAACTCCAACTCAAAAAAAAAAAAAATTTACTAGATGATTAACCCTTTAAAAATTCTACAGTGAATCATTTGTCAAATGAATTTTCCCTTTAAAATTGCTTTTTGCAGAACTCAGATGTTCATTGTGAAATAATTAATTAGAAGCACTCCTGTAATTCAGCAGTTATTTACACAGCCTTGGGCTTTTGTCCCATGGATCTAAGTCCCTTCTTTCCTAAATAAGCTCTTCACTTTCTATGCAAGGGAGACTTCTGGTATATCCAATAGTTTTCATCAACACAGCAACAATTATTTTACTTTAGTGACATATTTTGTGATGATAATTTATTAATAGATTAAGGAAACATTGCAATCTAACACATTACAGTCAATAATCAGGACAAGATTAATGGGCACGCTTAATGAAAGCCATCTGTTTGTTAAAGCAACTTGCTAACTTTCTTCACTTCATATTGGATTACAAAAACTGTGAGTGCCTTGAAGCCCACGAGAGTCAGGCTGAGTAAGCATAATTCTTTGGGCATAGTATTCACCTTTTCCAAACACTAACCACTATCCATGTGGGCTCTGGATGGAAGAGGAAAAACATTGTCAGCTGACAACCTGTTTTGTTGACTTGATGGCTACCCACAGGTCTGTTTTATTATGTTCCCCTGGCTTAAATGAGTTGTCAAGTGTTTTCTTAGTGTGCAGGCGCCATCGCAGAGTGATGGGATCCAGACAGCTAAAATCGCTGGTCTTTGAGATCATATTTTACCCTCTTCCCCAAAGCATGACGAGTCAACTACCATAGAAATTATGTAATTATCTAAAATGAAATAGACACAGTTCCTGCCTCGGTGACTTTTAACCTAATAATTGGAGTAAAATACACGCTGGAGGGGGAAATAGCATGCATTCCATCTTTTGAAGACACTCCTCAAAGAAAGTGTGCTTAAAAGGTCTAGAAGAAAGTATTTTAAAACATTAACAATGGCTATCTCTAGAGATGAGATTGAGTGATTTTTGTTTTCCTTTTAAAAGGGTTTATTATCTGCATTTTCAAAATGTTCTTCATAATCTATTATTGCTGTTTCAATAGTAAAAGAAAAAACATTTTTTTCTGGTTATTTTGTATTTATTATTTATTTATTTTAGAGTTGGGGTTCTCACCCTGCTGCCCAGGTTGGAGTGCACTGGCACGATCAGGTGATCCTTCCACCTCAACCTCCCAAGTAGCTGGGACTACAGGCATGCACCACCATGCCTGATTAACTTTTTTATTTTTTGTAGAGATGAGGTCTCGCTATGTTGCCTACTCTGGTCTCAAACTTGTAGGCTCAAACAATCCTTTTCCTTCAACCTCCTAAAGTGCTGGAATTACAGGTATGAACCACAACACTCGACCACCTTTTGTTTTATTACTAGCTGTGTTTATGTCATTCCCTGACTAATATTTTGGTGGCAAATTGACAAGCACGATGGTAAATGAGATTAAAATTTATATAAATTTTATTCGATAGCCGGACTCAGTGGCTCAGCCCGCGCTTTGGGAGACTGAGGTGAGTGGATTGCCTGATCCCGCAGGTTCGAGACCGGCCTGGGCAACTTGGTGAGACTTCATCTCTACAATAAAATTAAAAAATTAGCTGGGCGTGGTAGCGTGCGCCTATAGTTCCAGCTTCTTGGAAGGCTGAGGTGGAAGGATCGCTGGAGCCCAGCAGGTCGAGGCTGCGGTGGCCGGGAGCATGCCACTGCACTCCAGTCTGGGCGACAGAGTGAGACTCCACCTCAAAAAAAAAAAATGTTTTATTTGATGATTTATACCTTTATTCCTACTCTAAAAAAGGGAATACCAAGGTTTTTCTAATAGAGCTGTTTTCTACTTAGTTATGCTAATGATGGAATCTCATTCATCATCATTGAGTGAAAGGACCACAAAAAAACTCTGGTTTTAAATTAGAAACTTCGTACACAGAGAATGATTTATCTAGAAGTCATTCCTTATCTAACAATCTTAGCTAATCAGAATATAGTCAAGAACCCAGACTAAATCCAAAAAGTCCTTGGAAAATAAAAGATAAAATATCTTGCACAAAAAAGAATCATTTGGGTCTTACTTTGAGTCAATTTTCCCTTACTTTTTTCTATTTTTAGAGACAGGGTCTTGTTTTGTTGTCTAGGCTGGAGTGCAGTGACAGGATCACAGCTCACTGCAGCCTCAACCTCCTGGGCTCAAGCAATCCTCCTACCTCAGCCTCCCAAGTAGCTGTGACTAAAGACATGGGCTACCACACCTGGCTAATTTTTGTATGTTTTGTAGACAAGTGTTGTACCCGAATCCTGAATCTGAGAGACCACCAAAGAGCCAGCTCCAATGCAAATCACACGAGGGTCTTTATTCAGACTCGAATCTGGGCTCACATCCGTAACCAGCGCAGCGGTATAGGAACGAGAGCCCCGACCCAGCGCAGCAAGCAGCTTAAATACACAGTTACAAGGGAGGGGAAAGAACTTTAAACTTGTTGGCACATGATTGAGTAATTTCTCCTACTGGGTACGGGGGCGTTTGGGATTAGTTGGTTTGCATGGTCACGGATCGCGGCTGACCATCACCAGTCAGGCGGGCTGGGTGGAACCGGTTGGGACATCTGGAATGTGAGATTACTAGGGGAGTAGAGCAGGAAATGGGGCTAGAGGGTCTGCACCGTGACTCCGCGGTTTTCTTTTGGTATGTGAACTTGTTTACCAAAAGTATACTACTGGGCTTGGGCGGGAAAGCAAGCATACATCTGAGTTTTAAAAACAAGTTTCAATATACATTCAAAATAAGCTTCAACCTACACTTAAAACAAGTTTTATCACACAATTATGAATTAGATGGCCCTTGAGCTCCTCAACAAGGTCTCGTTATGTTGCCCAGGCTGGTCTGAAACAATCATCCTGCCTCAGTCTCCCAAATTGCTGAGATTATAACTGTAATCCCAGCCCAATTTTTTCCTACCTTAGATAGAAGGAAGGGAATCTCAGTGTACAGAGAGAAACTGGGTATTGTTGAGGAATTCACCAGTACCTGGGAAGGTATTAATATTTTGGAGTAACTGCTCTGGCCCTCTGGTTCCCAAGGGCCATTTGAGATCTATCAGCCATCCTCATAGTAAAAACCCCTCAGCTCCAGGACAGCAAATGTCCCCGTTGTCATTGTGATCAGGCATGGGCTCCAGTGAGCAAGGAGATGGTAGCATGTGGCACTCAGATCTCGCCATATGAAGAGCCACACCCTAGAGAAAACAGAGCAAAACAGAATAACAAGGAAAACAAAATTTTAGTTACTTATTCTGTAGGAAACAAAGATGACTCCAGCAAGCATTTGTAACACAAACGCTACAGAGGCTGTCGGGAAAGAAGTATCTTCCTAACTTCCTGCTGCAGTTATCCTTTGTTCCATAACAAATCATCCTAAAATGTAGTGACTTTGAACAACAAGCCATTTACTTATCTACAATTCTGTGATTTGAGCTGGAATCAGCTGGGCAGTTTTTTTACACGCAGAGGCATTCAGTCGATGAGCTGGGGACTGGCTGGCAATGGCTAGACCAAGACGTCCTCAGGCCCATATCCAGTTCTTCAGCGGGGATAGCTGGAATGACCAGGACTACTGCGCCTCTCTGTGTGGTAGCCCATCCTCAAAGAGGCGAACCCCGGCTTGTTCGTGTTTCAAGAGAAGAAAACCAGCTGGGCATGGTCGCTCATCCCTGTAATTCTAGCACTCTGGGAAGCTGAAACAAGAGGATCACTTGAGCACAGGGGTTCGGGACCAGCACAGGCAACATTTTGAGACCTTGTCTCTACAAAATAAAAAAATTAGCTAGATGCAGTGGTGTGTGCTTGTAGTCCCAGCTATTGGGGAGGTTGAAGTGGGAGGATCACTTGAGCCCAGGAATTCAAGGATGTGGGTAAGCTGTGATCATGCCACTGCACTCCAACCTGGGCAAGAGTGAGACTCCGTCTCTATAGAAAAATAAAACAAGGCCAGACTCAGTGGCTCAGCCTGTAATCCCAGCACTTTAGAAGGCCAAGGTGAATGGATTGTCTGAACTTCTGGGTTCAAGACCAGTATAGGCAGCTTGGCGAGACCTCATCTCTACAATAAATCAAAAATTAGCCAGACAAGGTAGTGTGTGTCTGTAGCTCTGGCTACTTGGAAGGCTGAGGCGGAAGGATCACCGGAGCCCAGCAGGTTGACGCTGGGGTGGCTGGGAACGTGCCACTGCACTTCAGCCTGGGCGGCGGAGTGAGACTCCAACTAAAAAAAAAATTTAAATAAATAAATTAAAATAAAATAAACAAAAGCAAAGCTATCAGACCCTATAAAGCCTAGTCTCAGAGTCGCCCAATGTCACTTCCACCATATTCCATTAATCAAAGCAAGTCACAAATCAGTCCCTATTCTCTACTCTTAATGGGGGGAGTAG